CCCCAAAACCCCAAAACCCCAAAACCCCAAAACCCCTTGCAGTTTAAAATAGATTGAAGAGCTCCAAGTATTAAAATTAGTAATTCACTGAACTGATCATAACCTTTTCATTTTGATCTAAGTCATCTAATCTTTGTTTCTCTGGAATGCTGTAATATTCAAGGAATTCATGAAGCTTCATTATTTCACCTGTCTTTTGGATAACTACGCATCCCTTGTTACGATCTTCTTTTACCTCAATATTTCTTGTTCCATAAATATAATTTCTGTATCCAACCTTATGAATTGGAACTGGATCTTGATGCTGATTTACATAATCTGCTATAATAACATCGGCCTCATCAGAGGGATCTGGAATGTACTCCTTCTTCCTTGATTTAGATCTTCTGCTGATAACCTTCTGCTTCATATTAACTTTTTCACGCCATTCGTCATATTGAGCTTCCTTATTTCTAACTTGTTCTTCTAATGATCTAACTTCTTCTTGTTTCATTTCAAGTTGTCTCTCAAGCTCATCTGTTCCTATGTCATCATCGCCAGCTTCATTGATTTCTTTCCTTGCTGCTTCAATTTGTACCTTGAGTTGCTCGATATGAGCCTTTCTTTCTTCAGATTCAGCTTTCAATGCCTCCAATTGTTGGGTCAAAGTCAGAACCTTTTCATCTAAATATCTGATAGTATGCTGCTTCGATTGAATAGCATTTTCAGCTCTTCTAAGATTGTCCAAGATCTCTGCATCTTCATCACGAAGTCTTTGGAGACTCTCTGTCATTCCTTGAATGTCAAAATCAAATGTCTCCAGAAGGCTGTTGACTTGTCTAGCGACATCATCATTCTCTTTAATAAGTCTCTGAATTTCCCTAAGTTGGTCCTTGTCCCTAGCATTCTGGCTATTCTCATAAGCATTGTTGACATGTTGAGTAAGCTTAGTGTTCCATTCCTTATAGATCTTGTCAAGTTCACCTTGAGCATCTTTTCTTTTACTCTCAGCTTCCTCAAGCTGGGATAATTTCCTCTTAATTTGGTCATCAATATCCTCTTCGTTCCTGGAATCGTAGTCATAAGATTGATCGTTAAGGCCAAGCCCATTGCTACCGTTGTTGTATTCGTTCCTTAAGCTCTCAGTTCTTTGCCTGAGTCTTTCTCTCTCATCCTTCTTGTTCCTGAGTTCTTTCTCAAGGTCTTTAATGTCAGCAGCCTCTTCATCAATCTTTCTCTTAAAGTCAGAGATAATCTGGTCATAATACTCATCGGCTCTTGCTAACTCATTCTGAAGAGCATTCAAGTGACTGTTATGGTACTGAATATTAGCATCTTTGATTGAAATTCCATGGTTCTTTTCATCAAGAGTATAGTCATCCTTCCTACACTTGTCCTCCAAATTGAGTAGATCAAGTTCAACATTGTATCTTTCACTTTCTTTCTCAAGAAGTTTCTGTGTGTCGTGATCTACATCATCCAGGAAGTTCTCGTCTCTTTGGATTTCGAAATCTGGAGCAACTTGCCCAGTCCTTACAGAAATGGCAATTTCGTTAAGAAGTTTATCAGCCTCGATTCTTAGAGCATCTAGTCTTTCATCTTCCCCTGAACTTTTCTCTGGAATAATCTATTTTGGTTAACAAAAAGGAGTACTTTGGTTTTCTTAATGCCAATAGAGACTTCTTCATACTCATTCTCAGCATCTTCAAGTTCGCGGTCAACATCGTCTAGCTCAGCCTCTAACTTCTTGATTTCATCGATAAGTCTTTGTCTCTCTTGATTCTCTTCTTCCTTAACTAGTTGGACATGTTTTCTGGTGTCTTCGAGGCTGACAATCGCTCGATCACAAATATTCTTAAGATCCTTTTCATCCTTGGTAAGATCGGTCTGGTTTTTCTCAATTCTTTGTAACTTTTGAATAAGTTCCTCTTCTTCAACGTTAAGTTGATCCTTTTCATTGTTAACTTCTTCGACTAGCTCAGCCGTCTTCGCTTCCATATATTTTTCTAGCTCGGAAGGATCTACCTCACTGAGGAAAGCTACTACCTCTTCTTTAGAGTTTGCTCCCTTTCTTTTGGAAGGATCAGCCCTGACACGTTCGAGGCTGACTTTGAGGTTACCCTTAGTAAACACTTTTCCAGGAATAAGCCCTGAATTCTTGTTGAATTGGGAATCACCTGATGATTCGTAGATAGTAGTGTGATGCTCTCTCACAACTAGGTCCGGTGAAGGTGTATCTGGTAGAGCTTCAGCACTATATTTCATAAGAATCCTTGGTTTCTCATTCTGGTCTTTCCCAAATATGCCATCAAAATCATCATTGTAAGCAGATGCTTTTAGTGAAACCCAATGTGTGATCTCGTTATTGATCAGTTGCATGAAGGTCTTAACATTAAAACTAACGCTACCAATAAAGAGGCCTTCGAAGGTATTCAAGCCACATCTCAAGACTCCATATCCACTCTTGACCTCTAGTCTGACTGGCTCCTCTCCAATTCCAACAGTCACGATTTCACCAGTGGTTAGCTTAAGCTCCATTCTGAGATCCTGCTTGTTGACATCCTCGCCATCTTCTAGGATAGCGTCTAAGAAAGAAATTGATAAACGTAGGTTCTTCCAAGAGTCCATGTTAAATTTTATTTCAATTTGAATTCTGTGTAGGGGTTTTGGGGTTTTGGGGTTTTGGGGTTTTGGGGTTTTGGGG